TATTATTATCTTCCTTTTATTAGCTCGGGATGTAAATATGTAATATTGATGCGCCTAAAAGATGCAGCGATTTCTATTCTCAAGTTACATACCTGATGACAGTACGAATGGCAATTATAATAGGGAGGTTTTAGTTTTTTAAACTATAATTTTTTTTTATAAAGCAAACGCATTTCTTGCTAGTATATTTCAGGACGAATGGATAAGAACTGAGCCAAGAGCTTGTGTGAGCAAATTCAGTTTTTGGCAGCAAATGTCCGTTACGCGGTTTTGCTGAATGACGATACGCGGTTTTGTACTTTAAACGACGATATGTAAGTATAATTTTGATGACTTTCTTCATGCGTTCTGAAACCTAGTCATCAACCCCATTTTCGACCGCCACAACGAATGTCATTAAATGGAACTACCTTCTTTTTGTATAATGCCATACTCCTGCCTTGTCGGAAACACCAACAACGAAAATGAGGATCTGTTGGTTTATTTTTATTGAAATAAATTATTTTTAATTTGACTGTTTAAAATTTATGATCCTACATTTTGTCTGTGGCGCCATTTTGGATGAGGTTATTTTTTTCTAAATGCCCTGTGTTCCACTTATCAAAATCTTTCGCCATTTTATGGTGGCGGCCATCTTGGATTTGGAACTTTTTCATGACGTACTGCATTCTCTTCATTGGATGCCCATATTGAGAGGGTTGTGAAAAAATATGTTATCGCTCATTTCGTGGCCATTTTGTGGCGGCGGCCATCTAGGATTTTCAATGATGCTGAATATATTTACGTGATTGTATTGTCATCAGAACTAAAGGGGTTTACCAAATTTGAGATTAATAGGTCAAAAGGAAAGGGATGAAATCCCAATTACTAGATTTTACCCAAAAACTAACAGTACAAGCTAAATAAAACCGATTAAAAAGCACATATATGTATGTACAATGTAACTACATAAATAAACAGAAGCATACATATATGCAAAATATATTCAAAACAATATTAAAAATATACTTACGAAAAATATGGAAATATGCAGATACGCAAAAAATATGCAAATATGCAAAACATATGTAAATATGCAAAAATATGCATATGCGTAAAGAAAAGTCCCATATTTTTATAAAACGTGGTCTGGCAAACGGCTTCACCGATCTTTTTGAAATTTTGAACACTTTTTTGTTATAGGCTGATAATAATTTCGATATATCAAGGGAGCGTGGCATCTCCCATATAAATCGAATTTTTGATACCGCATATCTCTGGAAGTTTTTGTGGTAGAGTCCTGCAACTTGGTATGGAGATTATGAAATCAATCCCATAGGACGGTTTCACACTGGAACATTTCTGCCAGCAATAGTAAACAAAGCTATTTTAACTCTATATTCCATAAAATAACGATTCGTAGTTTTTAAGCAATATCTGGCGGGGTTGTGGTACTCTGATTTTGATTAAAAGTGGGTCATAACTTATAACTCATAAGTTTTCTTAAATCATGTAGACAAATTTGGTTCATAGATCAAATCGTTTTTGACGACCGTGATTAATCTATATATGATCCGCGGAAGTCTCAAATAAAGAAATCAGTTTCAAAATTTGCAAGATACAAAAGAATAATCTTAAATGCAATTCAATGAATATATTGTTTTATTATTTAGTAATATTGCATACGTGAGTTAAATTAAGTAGGTTGTTTTCAAAAATTTCTACTTTGCTACATTTTAGTCAAGCATTTTTTGCTCTGGTTTAAGTCGAGTCAAATTATATTTAAGCCAACTTGCACAGATCACAAATATGCCTGTATGTACATTTATTGATAATTCAGTGCCATTATTTCTCTATGCTGCTTTAAAGGTATTCTACAATATCGCATTTAATGGAAATGTTCGGACAGCTCTGACCTACAACACTGCGACCCCGATAGTTGGGACTTTTTTCGGTGAGTAGCTTTCGGAATATGGGCAATATTGCCGTTTCTCCATCTAACAATTCCGTCTCGGAACTGGCACCATAAATTGACGACTCGGGCTTATTTCGATGCTTGCGTTGCTTTTCGGGCGCCACATTCGGGGAGGAGTGATGATGCGCAGCGTGCTGTATGTTTGTCTTGTTGAGTTTACGCTGTTGGATGCACTGCGTTGTTGGCGGCGTTGGTTCTCGTTCCCGCTCACTGTCTGTCTCACTTTGGCATACGGTGCCCTTTTGTGGCTTATGACGATGTTTATTGCGATTCTTTTCCGAAACCGAACGCTGTATGGGGGATGTGGTCTGGTCATAGGGAATGATATGGCTATGCTCCGAACAACGCTGTGGACTGGCATAGTTGCGTGGTGACTGGCGGGAATGCTGCTTGGCATGCGATAAAGTATGTGTATCCCATAAGTCGCTTTGAGAGACTACAAAGTTGGATTTCAGCGCATTGGTACCGCGACGGTTTTCTAATGCCGTTGGTGCTGCAAACGAACACGAATGATTTCGAGACATTATGAATTTTGTAAAATACCGATACAGGTACTTACTTTTAATGACGTTATTACTCTTCGAATGCGGACCGTGTGGACAAGTGCCATTTAAGTCTGTGTTTGAATTTGAAATATTTGTTGCTGAATTCCTATGATTGTGGGAATACTTTGGATTGGCGGTTGGAGTCTGACTTCCGCTGTCGTAGTGCTGTTTTTTGAAGAGTGAAATTTTTGAGAAAAGTGCAAATTTAATGAAAATTTTGTCAAAAACATAATATAAATAACACTAAATTACACAACAAAACGCCGGGCCTCGTAAACTTAATTATGGGTCGTAGATTACGGATATGTATACCGCTTTTCTAGATCAATTAATTGTCATCAAGACAGTGTAATTTTAAGTTTGAATGAATAACAAATTTTAACTTTGACATGGAACATATTACTCATACGCTATGCACGAGTATGACAAGTACGGCCATGTACGATATGGCGTATGAGTAACATTATTTCCTACTATTTTATAAAAAAATATTGCACATTTTCAGTTGACCATTCACCACTTGTTTATTTATCCATCGATTTTAATTGTAGGTAGCTTGATTTTTTTTTTTTTGCAAAAGAACAGGCTTTAATACAAATGAAAAACAATTACAAAGGATATTTATTGTTTTATTTTATTTTTTTCCTTGTTAAAGTTTGAATTTTTTTCATAAAATACCTTGGGGAAATTACCTGATCTGGAAAAACGGTATACGATCCCGAGATGTGGTTATCACAATCGTAACAAAAACCGCGAAGTCTGTTCTGCCTTTTCCAAGTTGGATAGGGAAGCAAAGCGCATGGGTCTGGTGGTAAACGAGGACAAGACGAAGTATCTCCTGTCATCAAACAAACAGTCAGCACATTCGCGCCTTGGCACCCACGTCACTGTTGACAGTTACAATTTCGAGAAAGTAGAGAATTTCGTTTACTCGGGAACCAGCATTAATACCGATAATAATGTCAGCATTTAAATCCAACGGAGAATCACTCTTGCCAACAAGTGCTACTTTGGGCTGAGTGGGAAATTCAGGAGCAAAGTCCTCTCACGTCGTACAAAGATCACACTCTATAAGTCACTCATCATGCCTGTGCTGGTGTATGGCGNCCCCCACTGCGATGGATAGATCAGGTGGAGAAGGACTTGGCTTCACTTGGCGTTTCCAATTGGCGTCAGGTGGCACAGAGGAGAAACGACTGGCATGCTTTGCTGAACTCGGCCAAAATTGCTTAGGCGGTTACAGCGCCAAAAAAGAAGAAGAAGAAGCGATTTTATGGCTGAATTTCTTTATGCATTCTGAACGTTTGGAATAGACTTTTTTGATTATTTATTCTTAAGAACGTTCCTGATGATATGTTGACGTATATCTCAAAAGCATTCTGTTTATTCCGGCTGTGAAATGGGATTATTTCGGATTGTATAAAGAAACGCAGCCTATATTTTCTCTCTGACGTCATGATTTATTGTAAAGGACTTTGTAATTTCATAGATATGATTAATTCCAAAAATTATTTCAAAAATTCAATGCAATGTAGAATAAAAATATGGGTAGCAAATGAAAGACGAAATTCCTTTAGAACTTAAAAAAATTAAAATTTTTTGGATGCACAAGGACGAGTAGGCAATTTTTTAAGCTGATAAAGTTAGAAGGACGAAATTCGAGGATGTTATCGAGTTTATACAAGTCCTTAACATATAATCAAAAGCAAATATTGCGAAATTTCAAGGATAAAATTTTAATACTTACTGGTCCTTATGTACCAATAAATTGAATCTGATTAGATTCTACAGATTTTCCTATTTTTCTATTACTGCGTCAGAGTGAAAAACTAAAAACGCAATTTTACTATATTTGGCCCATGGTTTCGCGAATATATTATTTTTGTGTGTAAAATTTACTATTGCACGGTGTTAACTATTAAATAAAAAAAGAAATATAGCCAATACTGGTCAAGAAAATGTAGTTTTTATTATTGCCATCAATGCAAATTACAAATCCCGAAAATCCCGGGATTATTTGTCAAATATGCCGTGATTTTTGGGACCTAAAAAAGGCCGGGATCCCGAGACTAACATTCCTAATACAGATCCATAATCTACGACCCAATATTAAGTTTACGAGTTTCAGCGTTTTTTGGGTAATTTCAAAACAAAAGATTTTCCCTGCAGTGAACTCCTAATACATACATATATGTATGTATGCATGCATGTATATATAGCCTACCCTAGATGCCACTGATTGTCGACGCTCTCGAAGTTGTGACTCTTCACTTCGTTTTATATTATTGCACTCTTGTTTTTTCATCCCAGGAATGGGATCGGTCTGTGCCGAAACGGAGTTTCGTTTCTCAGCTGGTCGGCGGTAAGATAAATCGTCGTGCTTTACAGATTGTAAGGGTGGCTGTTGTTGTTGTAATTGTTGCTGTAATTGCTGCTGAATCGGTTGCATTGACTGGATGTGCGACGGCTTCTGATGTTTTAGCGATCCAGATACTAGTCCGGTGGGTTGCATGCCACCGTCTTGGATTTGTGTTAGCGGTTTTAAAGATTTCTTTTTGCTAAGCATATTAGAAATCATTCAGAAAGAGATCGACATATATAGGTACATATACATATATGTCNTTTCTTTTTGCTAAGCATATTAGAAATCATTCAGAAAGAGATCGACATATGTATATAGGTACATATACATATGTATATGTATTTAACAGAAGCTTACGGTGGTAATGATGGTGCAATTGTGGTGGATTGTACGGATACCATTGAACTATCCATCTCTACATGGGTAGAAGTTACGCTGTCCACCGATGTCAGCTCGGTTACTTCTGTATTAATTTTTTGGATTTAGTTATTTTAAATGCATATGGAATTAATTGTTGTGTGCATATGTATGTTTGTATCAAGGCATATCAAACAGGTAGTACCATTCGAGCAAAAACAACATTTGCGTGTATTTTATTGTTGCTTCTGGTATCGAAAGTGTCAAAAACTGTTCTGATTTTTTTCTTCTAAATCAAAGCGGCCCATGTGAAATACAAAAAATTTGTTTGCTTCTCTATACATCCTTTGCAAGGCCCAGTAATCAGCGGTTGTGCTATCGAGTTGGGCNACATGGGTAGAAGTTACGCTGTCCACCGATGTCAGCTCGGTTACTTCTGTATTAATTTTTTGGATTTAGTTATTTTAAATGCATATGGAATTAATTGTTGTGTGCATATGTATGTTTGTATCAAGGCATATCAAACAGGTAGTACCATTCGAGCAAAAACAACATTTGCGTGTATTTTATTGTTGCTTCTGGTATCGAAAGTGTCAAAAACTGTTCTGATTTTTTTCTTCTAAATCAAAGCGGGCCATGTGAAATACAAAAAATTTGTTTGCTTCTCTATACATCCTTTGCAAGGCCCAGTAATCAGCGGTTGTGCCATTGAGTTGGGCGNTCTGGTATCGAAAGTGTCAAAAACTGTTCTGATTTTTTTCTTCTAAATCAAAGCGGGCCATGTGAAATACAAAAAATTTGTTTGCTTCTCTATACATCCTTTGCAAGGCCCAGTAATCAGCGGTTGTGCTATCGAGTTGGGCAACGTTCCAAAAGCTGCTATTCAATCACTTGGTTTATATGGAAAGAGATTTCACATGCAAATAGATTTTAAGAACTTAGAATTTTTGTAAGAAAAATTTTGAAACATTTGACATTTTCGAGACCGAATACATAATTGAAAAAAAAAAATCAAATCAGCCGATCTAATGATACTACCTGACCGTCTTCAAAAGAGTCACAACTCATAATTTGGCATTTTTAAAAAGATACGCTAAAAATGTACACAGAGCTTTTATTTACCTTTCAGCAAAAGCTGGATCAAATTTTTGTTATAGCTTCTTGAAAAACCTTGCCTACGAAATAGTTTATCGCATTTCCTGTTGAACGTATTATTTTGAGTTGTGACTCTTTTGAAGACGGTGTGCGATATGTACAAATCAATTAAATTTTTATTTTAAATTTTCAAATTGGGAATAAAGCTTTTTATTAATAAAAAGGAATAATTTGCAAATACTTATATCGCTTATTCGAACTAACCTAGAAAAACGCCTTTGGGACGATGTTTTTTGTTGCACAATGTACTTAGGCTTCTTATAAGTTTTGACCCATTTTTTTCTTTATTTATTTGTAATATATTTAAAAAAATATATATAGTTTATACTATACCGAAAACCAGATCACTCAAAGTTTTAACACTTGGAAAGAATGGATTAATGAAAAAAAAATAAAACTTTGTAAAAATGTGAGGCTCTCCAATGTTTTTGGCAAAGTTTGAATATGTTGAGTTTTATTGAAATAAATTACACTTAACTTTACACGCGGAAATTTCATACACTTCTGTTACCACTATTTAAAATCTTAATTTAATATGTTTTAAGAGGGGTTTATAACGCCGTAAATCGGATCTTTAATAATGCATAAATGATCGAATGTTATTTGTCAAAGACCTGTTTATCATAATAAAAGCATAGAAACGCCTAGAGAAGTTGAATGGGAAAAACTTTTAGATTAAACCTCATCGAAGCGCACCCGTTCCCGTGCAAGTTTTCCGTAAAAAAAGAAAAAAAAAAATTACCTGTTGTGCTGGGCATTTCCCGACGCACCGGTGGTGCCGACAATCTAGCTGTATCGTTAAGAATGGGTTCAGTGTCACCGCCGATACTACCCGTACATGTGACGCCATCAATCCACTTGCGCGCCTCTGGGCCGATCTTGCGTATAAGAGCTTGCAGCTCATTTTCTTTCTCCATGAGAATTTTTCGGAAACGACAATTCGTATTTTTCACGTCACGCAAACGTTGTTCCAATTCACAAACGGAAGAATCTCGTCGATTCTTCGACATTGGACGCAAAGTGGCGCGTACGCGTTTATCTACGACACCTTGTGGATTGCGCTTCAGTTCGACCAACTTGTGTACGTCAGACGAAAAAAGAAAAAGTAATCAGATTAATTGGAATAAAATACAAGGAGTGAATTGCCATCAAAATTGAAAGTTTTGAAATTGTTGTAACTATGCAAATAATAGTGCCAAACACAAACTAACTAAAAGCGATAGAGTTAATGTTAAGCAAGAATTAAGAGTAATTAATCAGCGAAACGATTTTGAAACAACATATACACATACAAATTATTGGGCCCACATACATCCATACATATATACGTATGTACATATCGTGATACTGTAAAACGTTTGTGGTACATTATTAGTTCTTGTGCTTAAATTATAAAAAAAAAAAAATAAAAACAAGCATTTCCAGAAAGTAGTGACAAAAAGGTTCCCTTATTTTGCAGTTTTTCTAGATCAAACCTTTTACGCTTTCCGCCATTTCGGATCTGCCATTTTGAATTTTTAAAAACTGCCTTCAGATTCATAATCAGTAATCGCAAAAACCCTTGGATATGAAGTCTAAAAAATCACAAGGGTTGTTTTGCAACATGGAGACAGTAACTGCAAAATAGGGTAGTTATTTGGTCACTACTTTCCAAAATGCTCAATTTTTTCATGGGTGCAAAAAAGTTTAACTTTGTCGGACAATGTTATCTGTATCTGGACGCATCTGTGAATCTCTCTACAATCGCAAAGCTAAGACAAAACTTTCCACCTCGGCCCAATGAAGCTCAGCGATAAATACAAATGTTCAGATAAGGCTCGCAGATCGTCTAAGCACAAGAGGTAATAATAAACGTTTGCAGTATCACCGACGATATGTTTTTATACATACATATGTATTTGTATAAATATATGCTATACACTTAAAATCCTGTGTTATATCTTTAGCAAATAATTAATGATTTTTGGTGAAGCTTAATTTACTTACGTTAGGGTGGTACGATAGAGTAATAAGAAGTGAGATCTGGTGGGTAAGTTCGTGAACGGGGTTCTTAAAGTTAATGAACTCTTGAACAAAGAAATAAATTGTCTCCTTGGGACAAGACAAGAACAGCGATATATCACACTTCAAGTCCCGATTGTAAATATGAATGAATGTACATATAAGGAAAAATGTAAAAAGGCAACCTCTACGTTCGGCAAAAAAAAAAAATCTTTCGAATTTGCCTAGCGAAAATACTTTAGACTCAGGGGTGTACGGCGAACTTTTTTTCTGTACGGTGTAAACTACATATGAGCAATCCACTTGCAAACAGCGTTATATGATTTTATAGTACTTAGTAAGCAATAATTTAAAAAAAACTACTACGACAACAAGTAACATCTAAATTAATCTTTTTTTTTTGTATTACCTAAAAATTCTGATAAATAAGAGCCTAATAATATCATAACATAATATGATATAACATAACATAACATAACCGTAATAGTCATAAGACCTAAAGCAGATTTCTAAATTCATCAGAAGATGGAGACTTTGAAAGTTTGTAAATAGGTGTGCTAGCGACTTTTACAAGCGTAGTTAAAATTTTATGCTATTTTTTCAGAATATAGAAAGATTTTGCACTGTGTTGTTAGTGGACATGAAACTACTTTAAATACTGGTACGTACTGGTACCCACCATAAACTGGAAATCTAAAAAAATTTTACATATTTAGCGCACTTTGGAAGTGGACTACTCTTATGTTCTAAATATGTACAATATGTCAATTTTATTTTGTAGAACAGTTCCAGAAAATAATTTATGTATTTGGAAAGCTTTTTCTGCACCATATACATACATATGTACATTTGTATGTAGGTAAGTTAATTATATGATCGGTTCTATAGGAAATTAAAGTTCTTATAACGCAAAAAAATAACAAAAATCGGTAGATAACTAACTAAAAATCCAAAATTCATCTTTTGATTGATTTTAATTAAGTTCATCAATTGATAAGTCCACACACATTTTATGCAATGAAAAATTTTAGTTAGTTATGGTAGCGATGTGTATGCATGCATGTACGTGTGTACGTGCATACATAAAATTGAAATTTTTTCGAAGGTATATTATTATAATTAAGCTACTATTGCTTTTGACCACAGATATGTATGTACATTGTACATATGAATGTCTTACTACGAAAGCCAGTGTATAAGGATACATATTTTGTAGTATTGCTTTATCAAGAAAGACTAGGCACAGTATGCCTCGGTGTAAATACAGCCATAGATTTCAAATACGACATATAGGAATAATTAAATGTCTAAAAATTTTATAAATTTAAATGTGTATAGCATATACCATATATAGGTTCTTAACCAAATTATTATTTTATGCCCATAAATATACGAAATTTTAAATTTAAAAACAGCTACAAAAACTACAAAACTTCCTTACTACCAGTCTTACTTTCGGTACGAACACCAAACACAAAGTTGCTGTCGTACAAAAAATTATAAAAAACGAGAGTAAGACAAAAACTAAATCCTTGCGATCGGAGAGAACCAACGAAATGGCGGCGCCGGCAATACATGTGATGAAAACGTTATAAACCGAAAACCCAATGTGTTTCGAATCATTCAAAGCTGGAATTGAAACGTGACGTGTCTCCCAAGCTAGAAAAGCGCCAAATACCTTAAAAGTATAAAAATAAAAGATGTTTGCCATAATAAGGGCTAATGAACTCCAAAACTTCATATATCATCAGGCTAACGCTTACCAATAGCAAACCCTTATAGGCATATATTATGATAACAAATATTGTCATATGCTGCGATTGGCAGTACTCGTTTTCGGGTATAACCAGTACATCGTCCATTGCCTCGTGATGCTTGAAAATTAAGATAAATTAAAATAACAACAATGTAAGTATGTAGAAATATTTAGTCACATCGAAATTCAAAGTTAACAAAAATCCAAAAATAACAGTTATTCTTGATGAAGAAAATAAAAATCATGAAAATTGTGAGGACTAATAACAGTAGAAAAATATTTGCCGACATAAGCTATTATGTTTGTCCGTGAAAGATAGACTTAAGTTATTCTTCCAATAAAAGGATCATAAACGTTTGCGTCCCTATTTTGAAGTTAAAACTATAATTATGGTCAAATACGCTCGGTATTGTTTCTTACCCTTGGCTCTAATTGTTTTGTGTCACGGTAGAATGGATCGGCCACTTGCCATGTCGTTATAATGGCAATATCAATAAATAATAAAATGCCCACTACCATAAACAATTGATAGTCCTTGATCACTTTTTTATTCAGCTTCAGATCAGTGAAAATAGAATGTACACGCCAAGTTTTAGAAAACATCGCCCCAAATGCTAGACTGAAGCCTGCCATCAGTATCCACGCTCGAGCTGTGCATATATAGGGAAACGCTGCCACGCTACTTAAGGTTGTGTCCAAGCCCAAAAATATAACGCTCATGTAAGTAAGTATGCAGCCAATTATGATAAGATTGTTTAGATGTGGACTTGACATTTTTATGTATCTGCAGAAGGAACGTTAGATAACAGCGGCGATAGTAGTTAACATTAAAAAAATAACTTAGTCTAAACATTCAAATACGCACCTTTGATTTCGATACTTTATATTAAAAGCCAAGAAAACACACGCCACAATGATTCCAATCACAGATGCACTGGCCGAAACTATGTAAATTGTTATGTTCACCTGGCTGTGCTCAATATAGATTAGTGTCCGGTCCTTGGGTGGAGTTTTACCAACCTGAGAAATGTACGTACAACTCAATTATTTTGACTCCAATCAAAAATTAATAGGCTCTATTTTGTCTTGATAAAGTGAGCGTCAGACCCAATATGTTGCTGTGTACCTTTTTTATTGGCGTGGCGACATATAACTGTTACACAGGCTTTTTTGGGAAATTAAAGCGTCCTCTTATTTACATTTGCCAACAGAGTAAACTTTGAGAGAAAAGATCATTTGACACGCAAGTCTTCATCAGTTAATTTATTCCATATCTTCTCTAACCATAGGCTAATTTTCTCCATTTTGAGTCCCTTATATCCCCTTTTCTTTCCAACATAAGGCCTCATACTCAGATGTTTAATAGATTCGGAATTGGTGACTAGGACGGTCATTCATTCAAAGAAACTTCAAACCCTATGACAATAGGTTTGTATAGTAACTTCTCCAGTAAAACATTGCAGCGAGAGCGTAAAAGCAAAATAGAGCGTAAAATTGAGAAGAAGAGAAAACTAGCAGAAAAAGTTAATGAACACAAAACTAGTAAAAACTTGCAAGTGGACAGTCGTTGCACTGTTTTGACATTCTGCTGTAAACATTTTACTATTTATAAATCAGTCTTAAACTCTGCTTTACACACAAGCACTTACACAGTCACAATATTTTGATTTAAACTCCTTTTACTTTTGTTTGTGCTAAACCAATTCAACAAATGGCGGCTTTTGACATTTATTCTTCTTCTTCTTCAGCTAGCTAATTTCTGCTAGTAAAAATTTCACTAGCAAGAATTTGCAGCTCTCCCGTGTTGTTACGCTCTCGATTCAGTGCTCTCTTGCAAATTTTTTGGGTTATCATACGCTTTTCCAGTAAAAATTTGCAGGTTCCAGTACAAATTAGTACTGACTATTGGTTACTATACAAACCTAATATTAACATATTTTTTGCTTCGACCAATATACATATATAGGCATACATATTTTGTCAAACAAGCATATTTAATTGTGTTTTTTATTAAACGCCGTTTGTCAAGAACGAACGAATCATTCCACAATTGCAAGAGCATTTGATGATTCCATCCAACTATTGGGTACTGATTTCGAAAAGTCCCAAATTATTTTATATGTCACTGACGTAATGTCAAAACGTAACCCACATTTTTTCTTTTTTTCAAAATTTTCTTTTTCATGCAGAATTGCATCTAGATGCTCTAATGGCACATCTGAACCAGAAGAAAAGTTTTTTAAAAATATGTCGTTTACGTTTTTTTGGCGGTTAGGGCTCGATATGGTAAAATCAGCAAAGGCGCTGAAGGTATTTTTCCCAAAGTTACTGTTTGGCACGAGATGACCGAGTGGCCGATGATGTAAGAGCTCGCTTCAGTGATGTTGACGATTTAATAAAGAATGGGAAAAAATATTTTTAAAATCTGCTAGAGCACGTTGAAGCTTTTAAGAATATGTATTCCAATATCGCTCTTCCGCCACAGCCAATATTATCGAGATGGGGAACTTGGTTAGAGGCGGAAAGATATTATTGCCTACATTTTAAGGAATTTCAAACCTTTCTTAAAGATCTAAATGATAGTGGCGCTTCTTCAATATTGAAGGAGAAAAAAGCAATAGCTTCAAATTCGATTGAATCCGGGTTTAGCCTATATCAATGCACAGTACTTCTTCTTGTCGGAAATAATAACTTAATTGAAAGGAAAAAAATCATTAGCTGCACTTAAGGGAATAATATCTGGTGTGTTAAGTGGCTAGCTTCATGTACGCCCCAATCATCAGTGTTGACGTATTTAGAAAGAACGTTCTCCTTATGCAAAACATTTTTGCGGCTAAATAGGTGAAGCTTTAACTTTGAAAATTTTAAAGAACTACATATTCATCTTCTTTGCCAATAAACCTTGAACAAAGCAAATAAAAAAAAAATTGGACAATAAATAGGTATTTTTAGTTTATTGTAAATGAATTTTTGATATACATTAAATTAATTTTGAGTTATTTGTGGCACTAAAAATTACAATATATCCTTGTGTTAATTATAAACTTATACGAAAATATGAAAAGTAAAAAATTATGAATTATAAATTACAATATATCCTTATGTTAATTATAAACTTGTATTAAAATATGAAAAGTAAAAAATTATAAAAGCAAAACAAATGCTAGAAGTCTTTTTGAATATTTTGTTTGTTCTTAGAGCATATTTAAAGTTTTTAGTGCAAATTATATGCGCATAGTTTAGATTTTTTAGTGCATAAAAAACTAGGGCCTACTAATGTGGCTCCGACTAAAATATTTCGTTTAAAGTACGTCAACTTCAAGGGNATAGTTTAGATTTTTTAGTGCATAAAAAACTAGGGCCTACTAATGTGGCTGTGACTAAAATATTTCGTTTAAAGTACGTCAACTTCAAGGGTTTTTTTTTTCTGTGTATTATTCATTTTATACAAAATTCGGGAACTTGATAATGGATAAATTGGTATATTTGGGACAATACAATTTTTGATATTCGCGCGCCCGCGCACCACTATGCGTGGGGTAAAATGGGGACTTTGTAATGACAAAAATTTAACTTCAAGCTTACCCATCTGACCGGTTTTCCAAGAGTCAAATCCAAATGGCTTAATTGCGAATGATATTCACCGATTTTCTCTGCTTGGCCTAATTGGAATTGGGTGATAAGAATATTTGCCTTCCGCTCATTGTTATAAAATCGCACAGGACCCTAGGGACAAAAATACAATAAGATTTTTTGCAAGGGAAAAGGTACTAAAAATGCTTAGCGCAGAATTCTACTTTATTTACAAGCTTGCTACGGAAATTCGGGCTATTCATTTTATTGTCCTTACCGTGACCCCTTCGAACGAGGTATTCCTCAGCGCTTCCAAAAACACAAGCTCCCAATCCTTCACACGGTAATCGAAGTGTGTTAGGAAATCTTCGCGCTTCTGTGCGACGTATTGAATAGCTAGCGCAGCTGCCCAGATTCCATCGTAGGTGTAACCATGAAAGCGGGAATATTCTGTGCCCCGCAAGCTATCATATTCCGAAAGATACTCATCTGCAGTCTATGTTTCGGAAAAAAATTAGATTAGTTCGGGCATCTAACACTTTAGTATTAAGACAGACTTACAATTCCAGCAATGGTTATATCACCACTAGTAGACAAAGGGAGCAGGTCAACGAGAATAGTGCCTTCTAGGGCAGTTGAAATCTCTTCTACAGTGCACTCAGTGTCAAGTGTAGCATTCCACCACTCTGTTGAATAAGTCGCCATTATAAGCCACTGATAAGCACGACCATACATTTCCAATCTAAGGAGAAGAATCAAAAACGAAGAGGAAGCGAATGGTAAAAAAAAACTTCGAAATAAAGCTTATGGTAAGCATATGACGCTCTTTGTACTCTTTACCCATGATTCAATTATTAAAGGTTTTCTAAAATTTGACACTCCCACCCACAGGGATGGTTTATGAAAGCAGGAGAAAAAGGGGAAGAATTCAATCACACTTCCCAAAATGGGAGCTAAATTCCATAAAAAGGTGTGGATAATAGTAAATGGTGGTATTTTAAAAAGAAGACGAATTTGATTTAATTATTCAAATTAAACAAGCTTATCTACACCGAATATAACNAAAATGGGAGCTAAATTCCATAAAAAGGTGTGGATAATAGTAAATGGTGGCATTTTAAAAAGAAGACGAATTTGATTTAATTATTTAAATTAAACAAGCTTATCTACACCGAATATAACCCCCCCGATTGTTATTAAAAATAAATATTTCTATGTATATACCAAACATGCGTACGTCAGATGGCGCATAACTCGAGCTTTTTTTGTTGTATTTGTTTACCAGATGATGGATATGAAGAAGCTATTTGTTTGTGGAAAGTATGCAATATTTATTAAAAAAAAACGACAATTACAAAAATTTGGAGCTTACGTTTCGTTCGCGATTATGGCTCGATTGCTTCGAATATGGTAATTCGAATTCTTTGATGTCGCTTTAATGTTCTGGGGATAATATTCAACATTGGCTTAAACAGCCGCAAATGGCGATTCGTACCGGACGAACTCAGGAAGAATAAAAAGAACACGCAGCTACTGAACGACTGAGACAGCGAACGTGATCTACGTCGTCAAATGAGAAGTGCCGTTAGTGTGCAATTACATCGCGCCATTGACTAAACTGAGCTGTCGTGTGACGATTGGGCCCATGGATGCGGTTTGGCAATTTTATCTCATTCGGAGACACCCATACCTAAATACCTTCGCTGGCTCATTTACCAGAACCATTTCACGCTTTACTTTACAGCGACTTAATAGAATCAAGAGGTCTCCACGAATATCGACAAATACATTTCGGCTTTTAAGTGAACTTCGTCTTNTAAACCGAGCTGTCGTGTGACGATTGGGCCCATGGATGCGGTTTGGCAATTTTATCTCATTCGGAGACACCCATACCTAAATACCTTCGCTAGCTCATTTACCAGAACCATTTCACGCTTTACTTTACAGCGACTTAATATAATCAAGAGGTCTCCACGAATATCGACAAATACATTTCGGCTTTTAAGTGAACTTCGTCTCTTTAGCCTACATTGAATTTCTGTAGTCCAACGATTCCCACTCATTTTGTCTTGTTGCCGCCAGCGATTGAAGAACAAACATTTCTTCAAAATTTAAAAAGTAAAAATCTCACTACTAAAAATTTAAAAATGTTCTTAAAACTTGCAAAGAAATTTGAAAAGGAAATATCACTGTTTTTGTTTTTAGGAGTAGGGTGCGGGTGTCATTGAAAAAAANAAAGGAAATATCACTGTTTTTGTTTTTAGGAGTAGGGTGCGGGTGTCATTTGAAAAAAATAGTGCGAGAGAAAGTTTTTCTTACAAAACCTTTCATTATTGAATCATGCTCTTTACCTATAAGCTTCACAAAACACTTTGCGGGCATAGTGTTCATTAAAATTGCCCAGGATAATCCGAACATCCTTTTCCCGCAACTTCTTCAGAGGTTCGTTTACATCGTTGACGAAGCTTTGAGTTTCTACAACTTCTAATTGCATGGAATCCAAATCAGCCACCATGTGATTATGTGGCAATGAGTATCGTGGTTCATTCTGGTACAATGTGCCTACGCGCGTCCAATTGAACTGCTTTAGCAAAGCCAGACGTGGGGCATTAAAAGCATTCTCCGATGGTACGACGCGAAAAAAATTCGGAAATGCGTCTTTCGTAAACATGGGATGCGTATCGGCGTATGACAGTTGTGTGAGATGCCAATGCTTGCTAGCTTTAGCTATGGGATCGGTAACATGCGTACACGCGGCACCGAAGAGCATTAGCTTGTTGGGGCCAGAGTGCATCATATCGAAGAAGGACTTGACCCCAACTGCTGCATTGCACTGTAAAATGGTACAAAATGATAGTTGATATAAAAACATCTGATAAAAGTATGTCTAGAGGCACCTCAGTGTCATTCCACCACATGTGCAGCCGATAATTGACCAAAATTGTAGGGTGTTCATTCACATGAGAAAGCGCTAATTTAACACTTGGCATTACTCCACGACCTGTGTATGTGTGAGAGCATGATAAAAAGGCATTAAACGTATACATTAAATGTTATCAAAAAAGTAATTGCAATTTAATTAATTGCCGTATGCAATTAAAAATGTAATTGCAACTAAAATTTTAATTGAAATTAATTTCATTGCAATGCGCAGTTAAAGTTTTATTTGCAATTAAATTAATTTAATTTCAATTACTTTTTTAAGAAGTTAACAAGATGATAGAAAAATTATTTGACTAACGCCCAACACTGGTATCATATCGCTTGTTTGCTGGAATATCATAACTAGAATGGGGATTTTTATGCAAAATACGGAGCCTAGAAATATGTACCACATAACTATAAGCTAAGTGGATAAATTTGTATACAATTTGTTTATAATTAAGTGATACATATTTATAGGCTCCGTTTTCTGCATAAAAATCCGTAGTCTCACCATAACGCGAAAAAAAAAATAAAAAAGGAGAAAAGGGCTTTCAAGCTTCTAGTTGGGATTTCCGCATTAAAACAGGACAAACGAAAACATACTATATAACGACTTTAGACATGCTATCATAACATTAAAAAACGAATTAGAAATTTTGTTATTCTTTAAATACTAGGCTACGAAAAAATAATTTAAAAAAATCCATCATGTAAATTTTACAAGAAAACTCATTTTTCATAGTGTTACCGCGTACCATTATCGGTAACTTCGAAATTAGATAAGTCTTTCTGATGCTGTAGGGTTTTTAAATCAAAATTTTATTTTAAATAAATTCATTTTTGTTTTTTTTCATGAAAATCATTACGAATTCTAAGATAAGCATGCCATCAGGTCTCTCATTACACATGTATGCGTGGTTTTCCCAAAAAAAAAAAACTAATTAGCGATTTGGGTAGGTTTTAGATAGTAAGCTATGAAAAAATAATAAAACAAGTAATTTTTAAGCAAAAAAAAAAACCGACTTCAATTCTCATATAAAAATTTTAGAGTATCGCTAATTTCTTCACGATCCAATTATCGGATCTAAACAAAATTAGTACGGGACCACCCTTGAGGTACCACCGTTCCGATGAAAAAAGAATTATCGAAATCGGTTAACGTCGTTCAAAGTTATGCGGTATCATAAATAAATAAAAAATATTCCGACGAACTGATTACTTTCTAATTTTTTCCGATATTTTTTTTACATATTTCATAGTATTACCGCGTATTGCCATCGTTAACTTCAAAATTATATATGTCTTTCTGACTCACTTAGTTTCTTTATGGGTACATTTAATCAATGGTGTTGGTTTTTAAGTAAAAATAAAATTCTAGATCCTTAAAAAAACATAATTATTGTGTGTAATTGCTAAACACAAAGTGGAGGTTATTTTTTTACAAAACATAAAAGAGGGGCTTAATACCATTTCTGCTTGCCTGTTTTAGAGATATTTAAATTTTTTTGAATATAAGGTTACCCAATAACAACGCGATATGTACATACATACTTTCGATTAATCTATCTATCTAATCATATAAAATTATTTTTTACTAATCAATTAAAAAAAATGTAATTCCTATTTGTGAATATTGATTATTTTGAATGAGGCAAAATTTTCCTAAAGTTAGATTTTCAAATTAGATCACGAAAAAGACTTCGATATTTTTTAGAGTGTACTTAGCATTTTCATAATTACCTGTATCGGAATTTTCAACTCCATCACCGTAAGGAAAGAAGCCAGCAATATATACATCCGAACGTTTGGCAGTCCTCCCGTTACAGAACGATATTAGACCTAGGAGGTACACGCAAGCGTACAACGCTCTATTCGCCAATGCCATTTCGTAGGTATCTGCAAAAACGAAATAATCAATTGAAATAGTACATACGTACATAGATAAATATCGTCGTTTAAAGTATGTATACAACAGCGTATCAAGATAATGCAAAACCGCGTATGTGTGTTTGCATTGAATTATTTTGTAGACGGTAAAAAGACTCATTTTTCAAAATGGTTCTCTCTTTTATAAAGCAATCGCATTTCTGCTAGTATATTTCAGGACGAATAGATAAGACTTGAGCCAAGAGCTTCGGTGAGTAAATCCAATTTTTTGCAGAACGGCAGTTTTGTACTTTAAACGACGATATGTACATATGTACGTGCAGGCTCTATCTTACATTTTGCTTCCTTCAAACATAATTTGGAAATTTAGCAAAAAGCTAAGTTCTACTATTGCGAATTTCTTCGAAGTTAGGCTTTTTATTAAACATAATATTTCATCTAAAGCAGTAATATTTGCATTCAATTTCTTTTATACAAAAGTATATTTTGTGAGCTATTTNAATTTAGCAAAAAGCTAAGTTCTACTATTGCGAATTTCTTCGAAGTTAGGATTTTTATTAAACATAATATTTCATCTAACGCAGTAATATTTGCATTCAATTTCTTTTATACAAAAGTATATTTTGTGAGCTATTTGACAAATTTTTCTATAAATCTGGATTCCAAATCAAAATGAGTTAAGAGCGAAATTCGAGGGCTGCAAATTCTTGGTTTCAAATGTAAACAAAGTCATTAAGAGGAACATTTGATGAATACATGCCCAAAACAAAATTTGTGAAATGGAAATATGGATGAATAATTTAAATCCAATGCAAATTTTTTTGATTTATTTCACTGTACGGCATAATCAACTTTTTTCTGGGTATTGGACCAAACCATTTTTTTTTTAGAGATTGAGTCGTAGGTAAAAAAGTTATTTCTCGGNATTTGATGAATACATGCCCAAAACAAAATTTGTGAAATGGAAATATGGATGAATAATTTAAATCCAATGCAAATTTTTTTGATTTATTTCACTGTACGGCAAAATCAACTTTTTTCTGGGTATTGGACCAAACCATTTTTTTTTTAGAGATTGAGTCATAGGTAAAAAAGTTATTTCTCCGTTTTTCGAAGTTAGCATCCGAAATCGAGATAAGGGCCTTCGAATTTCGAAACAGGGCCTTTGGTAAACAATTATATTTAATTATTGCATATAAATATTTAGAAACCTAAAATAATAGACGTAGTCCTCCTTTTGCGCTTATTTAAATTGTATATAACTTTTCTTGTGCAAACAGGTGCTATAAGGGGTCAAAGTTCAGGGGCCTATTTCATAAAAGTGACTGGTGCGACAATTGTCGATTTTTCTATAAAATTTCACTGCCAGAATTGTCGGCGACATTTTTTATGTTTCATATACGCTCGTTGGCAACTGTGAAATTTTTTGGGAAACGACAGTGATATTATGGAATATTGTCCACAATTGTGCTGACAATTGTCACTCTGACAAAATTGTCCCGACAATAGCGACAAAACCAAATAGCTCCGTGCGCAATTCATTACTTTTTCTTATTTCTTAAAACTAAAATATTTAAATTAAATTAAATTAAATNCATTACTTTTCAATAATTTGAATATTTCTTAAAACTAAAATAATGCAAATGCAATTATTACATATGATTTTCATATAAATTTTATATGACGACAATTTTGTCAACGACAATTTTAAACCCCGACAATGACAATTTGTCACTTTTTCAATGGAATTTATGAGGTGATGACAAATTTTTTTATGAAACAAAACACCCAAAAAACTGTCGAATTGTCGCTGACAACATGGAAAATGCCTGTCGTTACAAAATTATCACTGTCGCTTATGAAATAGGCCCCAGGTCTTCGAAAAATTAAATTCCTTATATTTCAAATCATTATAAACTGATTTAAAAAACATTTGTATCATCGTAAAGGTTATTAAATTTTAGAAAAAACACAATTTTTATAAAAAAAAAACTTCTACCGCTTAGACTTTGCTGCTTTTTCAATTTTTCCTAATAAACAATCGTGGAACAAAGCTCAATAAAAATATTAAAAATAAAATGTTAACAAGCCACAATAAAATTGACAAAAAAATATTTTAAACCAAAAAACTTACCAACCGATTTTTAAAAAATTGGGATCGTTGTAAATACGATTAAATCTCCTTTCTTCTGATATGCATATTTGTATACTTCGTATATCAAAATTTGAGAAAAAACACATTTAAAGGAAAAAATACCGTTTTTTAAATATTTTAAACAAAAAAATTACTAACCGATTTTAAAAAGGCTGATATCGTTGTAAAGGCGAAGAAACCCCGTTTCTTCTGATATGCATATTTGTATACTACTCGTATAAAAATTTGAGAAAAACACTTAAAAGGAAAAAATACCAATTCTTATAGAATTTCTTTCTTATAAAATATTTGAAGCAAAAANAAAAAAAAAAAAACAGAAAATTATCTTTAATCCTTAGACTTCTGTTACATATACTTTTGCTTTATTTTTAACAGGGCTGTGGGTGAAAAAGAACGAATTAACGCTTAAAGCACTATAAATTTTTGGTTTTATTTAAATACGGTATTCAATTGTATTACTAATTAGTAATTTTTTTGTGAAATTTTTTTTATATGAAACAATTTGTATTTTTTCCTTTTAAGTGTTTTTCCTCCAATTCTTATATACTAAGTATACAAATATGCATACTAGACAACATGGGGTTTAATGGTCTTAACAACGATGCCAATTTTTTAAAAATCGGTGAGTAATTTTTTTGTTTAAAATATTTTTTGATAAAAAAAAAATTATTTTTTCCATTTAACTGTTTTTTCTCAAATTTTTATTCACGAGGTATACAAATGTGCATATCGAAAGAAAGGGGGTTTAATCACCTGTACAACGATATGAATCTTCTAAAAATCAGTTAAAAATTTTCAGAAATATTAAGTTTTTAATTTTTCGATGATCTCACCTTTAACCCGTTATAGCATCTGTAATATAAGTTTTCACAAAAAAAGTTGTATACCATATAAATAAGAGAAAAAGTCGGGCCACGTCTGTCTTTTTACTTTTTTTGCTTTTTACATGCAATAATTAAAAATAATTTTTTACCAAAGGTCCAATTTCGAACTTCGAAGGCCCATATCTTGATTTCGGAGGCTAACTTCGCAAAACGGAGAACTTACTTTTTTTACTTATGACTCAATCCCTTAAAGAAAATTGGTTTGGTTCAACACCCAGCCGAGTGCTGTACAGTGTTTGACGATGGGAAAAATTCCAAGTCAAGAGGAAAATTGCGCGCCAAAACTTAACCATCAGAAGTGTTTACTAGTTTTGTGTTCAATAAATTTTTGTGATAATTTTCTTTCCACTCAATTTTACTCCCTATTTATAGAAATCGGATATCAAATAAAGAAGTGAAAAAAATTTTTAGCTGTTTTGCAGGGGGCCGAAAAAAATTTATTTTTCTGAAATACTGCCTATTTAGTGTGCGCTCAAAAACGCTTCGAACAAATTTTACTTTTCAGAAAAACACAATTGCAATTGCAAACCTCCGAGTAGGTAAATGCCCGTTTTTCCGTTTCAGCATTTTTCTTAAAGTGAACAAAACACATATCAAAAACCAACCGTCACTTACAACCTACCGCAGAAGCTGATTGCCTATTTTGACAGATTTCGGTAAACCCATGAACTTTGTTTAATTAAGTATATGAGACAAATTCTCTATATAAAACGTGGTTGAAAGAAATGGGGGTTTTTTAAGAACTATTTAAACTTTTTTTTTTGACGAGATGGTTTATTTTGTGAGAATAAACAATTTTTTGTAATTTGTTTTCCAAATCTTATGTTGAGATATATTTAGTAAGGTGTTAAACATCGAGTTTTTGCAAGAATTTCAATTTTATTGCAGATTCCGATAGAACATCTATAGGTATAGGCCTAAAGTTTGCAAAACGCAGATTTTATTGCGGATTTCGGCAGAATATCGCTTCGTTAACCACATTTGTTCCACAACTTTTTCAATCAAAAAATATTCTAGAAATGGGCGGGGCTATATTAAAACCAAATTTCAAAAATTTAAACTTTATTGTAGATTTCGCCGGAATATCTATATGGATTGAAAAAGTTGTGGAACAAATATTGTTAATAAAGCAATAGTCTGCCGAAATCCGCAATAATATCTGTGCTTTGCTTATTTTATTCCTGAGATTGCCACGCCCATTTCTTGGGGCTTGTCACTTTAAAGAAAAATCTTGCCAAACAAATATTATATCTGGATAGGTATTCTATCGGAATCCGCAATAAAATTTACTTTTTGCAAAAATCCGATGTTTAGCACCTTACCAAATATATCTTAACATAAATGTTCGAAAAAAATTACAAATAATTGTTGATTCTCACAAAATAAACCATCTCGTCATAGAGAAAAATATTTTAAAAATAGTTCTTGAAAAACGGCAATTTTTTTAAGCATGGTTTTTATAGCGAATTAAACAAGGATTACGATGGTGTAATTTTAAATCCCTTATTTACTGGTCTTCACTATGCAAATCAACTTCAAAAAGTTCAACTGTTAATAGCTAAGTTAGCTTTAGACATTCTTGACCACCTTATAAATAGAAATGTTAAGCCCGTTTCGTAGCTTTAAAACGGCGTTAAGATGGAGGCTCTACGGTGAGCAGACCCCGCGATATAACGATTTGAAGAACTACTTGATTAGTCAAAATCGGGGAAAAAATGCAAACTTTGACAGTTCATATCTCCGAAGAAAAAAAAAGAAAAAAACATTTCCTCGAACACTTGTTAGCTTATTTCATGTATACAACCCACAAAAAATATTTTAAGCGAATCGGAGACATGACATAATTTTTTTTTTAAAATCCGTCCGAGTTAACAGATAATGGCTCATATAGCCTCTGTTTACCGATTTCGGGGAATTACCGAATTTTGTTTATTGCAGAGATTTTTTTCCATCTGTAGGTATGTAGTTTCTTTCGCTCGCTATATTATTTGATCCATGTACTGCAGTCGCCCTTCTACCACCCCCGGTCCGTTCGTGGATGGAACGGCCATATTAGTTTTAGCATTAATTTACATTAGCCCAAACATAATCTATGTGGTTCAGCATCGGCGAGTATGGCCTCAGGCGCAAAAGGGTGGGTGGATGACCCATTACTGCCCAGTACTTGCTCAAGTCCAGTATGGCTGGTGCGTTAGACGCGCAGACCAACACTTAATCGCAAAGAACGTTGCCCACGCTAATCCATTTTTCTAAAAGCCCCCGAACCCACTTGCTGAAAATGAAGAAGAAATACACTCGGAGGTTTGCCATTGCAAAACCTTTCCTAGTTAAAAATGTTCTAAAAATATATTTTTCTCTAATACAGTTGTATTCTCCTGAATTTCATTTGGCTTTTTAATTTAAATTTGAGTTTTTCTGAAATGCATTTGCCCTTTTCTACCTCACATAGAAAAAGATTGTGTTCATGCGTTATATGGAAAAAACGCGCAACATCCTCGGCAAAAAAAAAAAAATCTCAAAAATCAACGGTAATTTTTAATGACTTGAAACTTGCACTTTGTGGTACTAAAATTTAATGGGCTACAAAACTGTATGCTCAAAACTTTTTCAAGAAATTTAATCGGTATTTCTTGCATTTACCAGAGTTCTATATGAAATTAAAAAAAATTTGTTCTTGTGGTTTTGCAGTTGAACGGCTATACATATTTTTATGAAAAAAAAAAATTGGTATGGAAAATATGTATAAATAAATAAAATGGTCAAAACATTTTTGACGTTGGCTGTATGTACATATGCACATGTACATAGATATACGGAGACACAAAAAGGGTAACACTTTGTCTCAATTAACTCTTACAGCATACACAAAAAATCCAAGACCATTATTAGAGTCCTTTAAACCTGAGTATAATAATACTATATGTATATACATACATATGTATGTATATGTGCACACCAGAGCTGGGTAAATGCAATTACATTACAATTACAATTGCATTCCTCAGTAATTGTAATTATGATTCAATTCCTTTAGTTCACAGCAAAGGAATCGATTACTTTTTCAATTCCTTGAAGTAATTTCAAATGGACTTGGTTTTTTCTTTAATTCCATTACAAGGAATTTCATATTGTAATTGGAATAAATTACGTGCTAGTAATGTAATTTCTTTTATTTCAATTCCTTTGTAAGGAATTGAAAATGTAATTTTTTTTCCAATTCCTTTCAAAGGAATTAAAAATGTAATTGATTTTTTTTCCAATTCCATTCCTCAAAGTAATTTAAAAAGTAATCGAAAAATGTATAAAAAGAAATATTGTTTACTGTTGAATTGCATAGCTTTGTTAAATTTCTTGGTTGCTAACTGCCTTGAATAA